TAATACGATAAGTTCTTGTATTCACCCGAGGCACCCGGCAACGCGCATTGCGCGGTGCTCTACACTAGTATATATATATATATATATATATATATATATATATATATATATATATATATATATATATATATATATAGATTAATAATAATTTCAAAAATTAAATTGTTTAATAAATTTTTTTCTCTCTATTTTGGAATTTTCTGATACCAATTAATTTTTTTAGGAATTTGGCCCTTTGAGTATTTGTATAAGTTTTAACATAAATTATATTATGCAATTACAAAAATATTATATATTTCGAAAAACAATCATCAGATCGAAAATCGAAATTTTCTTTAATTTTATATACAGTTACGATTTCATTCAAAATAAAAAAAAATGGAAAATCGAAAATCAGCACGATTGAAACCACTATCTTGTTATTTGAAGAAATATTTATACTAAACCAAGTAGAACAAGATTCCATTTTGAACAAGTATTCTTGTTTAGCAGTTGACAAGTCATGTAATAAGATTACGCGTTTAAGGATTCCACATCTTGTTGTCTTGTCTGGGGCAAATTGGCAAACAACATTTATTTGATTTTATCATAGGATTTCATTTTCAGAAAAGAAAAAAAAGCCCAAAACCTCACTCCAAACCAAACCATTCAATCTTCAAGAGTTTTCATTTACAGGTAAAATTCGCTCCGCTGATTTATTTTTCTGCGTTTAATCTCAATTTTGCTGATGGGTTGTTTTTTATGCTCTTTCTTTATCTACATTTTCGGATCCAGAGTCTCTGCTTTGTGGGTCTTGTAAGTTTCTTACATTATATATCTGTTTATTTTCCGGCATGTTATTCTGATGTATTTGTTTGAATTAAAAATTTCGGGAAGATTAAGGTTTGAAATTGAGGATCTTGGTTTTTATTATATATTAACTCTTCTGCATTTTCTGATCATATATATATATATCATTTCGGTTTTTATGGATCTAATTGTCTCTTACTTCATATATTCATAATCCAGAGCACAAATTTTGGTTAAAAATTCAATTTTTAATGTTCCAAGTGTTTCTTGTTTTGAAATTTGCTTTCGGTTTGTAATCATACATTACAAAGACGAGTTCTTGATTCGACCGTCTTTTGCATTTGAAGATCGATCGAACATTATCGTTTCCCTTCATTATATATTTATATTTGTCGTTGTCGGATAAATTCGAATATTTATTCATGTCGGAACTTCAATTTTTCTCCATTCTAAACTTTGCAAATGCTTCGATAGGTCATGGCGTCTCACGATGACTCCAACACAGACAAGAAAGACGAAGTCAAAGGCGGATTCCTCGGGAAAGTGAAAGGTTTCATGCACGATATCGGCGATAAAATCGAGGAAACAGTTGGATTCGGAAAACCGACCGCTGATTTCACCTCAATCCACTTTCCCCGCATCGACCTCCAAAAGGCAGATATAGTCGTAGATGTCCTCGTTAAAAACCCTAATCCAATTCCAATCCCACTAGTCGACATCAACTACTTAATCGAAAGCGACGGAAGAAAATTAATTTCTGGATTGATTCCCGATGCGGGCACAATACACGCGCATGGCTCCGAGACAATTAAAATACCCGTTTGTCTTATATACGACGATATCAAGAATACTTACGCAGATATAAAACCTGGGAGTATAATTCCTTACAAAGTCAAGGTTGAGTTACTGGTTGACGTACCCATTTTCGGTAGGTTGACTTTGCCAATCGAGAAAACGGGAGAGATTCCTATACCTTATAAGCCCAGTATCGACGTTGACAAAATTCGTTTCGAGAAATTCTCGATCGAAGAAACTGTTGCGACTCTTCATTTGAAGTTGGAGAATAAGAACGACTTTGATTTGGGGCTTAACGATCTTGATTATGAGGTGTGGCTGGGTGATGTCAGCATTGGTGGCGCCGAGCTCAATAAATCTGCGAAAATCGAGAAGAATGGGATTACTTTTATTGATGTTCCGATTACGTTTAGGCCAAAGGAATTTGGTTCGGCTATTTGGGATATGATTAGAGGGAAAGGGACGGGATATTCTATAAAAGGGAATATTAATGTGAGTACTCCTTTTGGGGAAATGAAGTTGCCCGTTTCGAAGATCGGTGGGACTACCCATTTTAAGAAGAAGAAGGAAGATGGTGGCGATGGTGATTGGTGATGATCATTCGGTACGTTTCTAAGGATATTCTCCGGTTTCTTTTTTTTTTTTTTTTTTTTTGATTTGTTGCGCATATATGTGAGGAGCACTTGTTGTTATTATTTAAACATTTTCGTCATTTTCCGACAAAAAAAAAATATGAACTTTTATGTAATAACTCAAAAACGAAAACCCGCGATTTTCGTGAGGTGGTTTGCATTGTGATGAATGGTACAAGGGTCTTTCTTGTGTTTATTTTGATGCATAGTTAAATATGTGGTTACATTTGAGTTTGTACGTACGAGTACGAGCTTGTAATGGTCGATCTCGAATTGAATTTTGAGTCGCTCGATTTCGGGTTTTGGCTCTATTAAAAAGACTGCATCGTTGGATTATAACTATCAACTTGTGGATATGAAATTGTCATGAAGTAGTTGCTGTCTTTTAAGACAAAGTAATATTTTGTTTTTAATGAGTTAATGAAGAATTCGGTAGGGTAAGGGGTGATGTATGTATTATGATTTATGTATATATACTTTTACTTAGAATGGGATGCTTTTGCCTTTTATTTATTCAAATTTAACAAAGTAAAACAATGATTGAATTATAATTTATATGGGGTGGTTGTAAACTGTAGATCCATATAATTAACCATTCATTAAGCACACTGTGTTGCTATGTGTAAATCGATGGTTTAAAATTATCCGGTGTATTTCACCTAATGTAGTATCTACAAAACTGATTGGCATCGCCACTATAGTCAAAATTCTTGTTTAAATATGAGAACAACATTTTTTATATTTTATGAGGTTCGAACTGAAATATGGTCAAAATAAAAATTGAAGTGGAAGATTGTGAAGCACAAACTCTCACAAGATGAAGCGAGTTTACGCCAATGTATTTCATACGTTGGCGTTTATTTGTTCATAAATCTGATCAATTTGTATTTTTTTTATATTTTTTTAATGACTACTTGAGAATATTGTTAGAAAATAGAAGTATAAATAATTATAACAATTGCATGGAAATAAAGAAAGAAGTATGTTGGTAATAGGGCCAAAGGTATGATTTTACTTTCAGTTGGTGAAGGGGCACAATAATTCCAAACATACAACATGTAGTAACAAGGACCATGTATTTCTTGCTTAATTAATTAAATATATATGCTACTATATATATATATAATATAATATGTGTTTGTTTATGTGTGTTATAACATATCTCAAAATGTGCTTTGGTCTCAACAATGTTTGTAATATTTGTGAACTCTAAGAGTGGTGGACCATTGAAATAAATAATATATAATTAATTACGAATTATTGGTTCGCTACTCGGTTGCCATACGGTTGAAGCATGAATCGGTTCGACTCGCTTCTTGCCATAAATCGAACATGAACTAACGGTTCTCATTTTGATTTAATTTTTTCGTTTTTTTGGTTTTGGATGTTCTAGATCTTCTTCTTTTCTTGTCTTTATAATGTAGAACTAAGGTTTAGTAATGTCTCGGTTAGATTTGTCGGAATTTGGTTCAGCTTTTTGATTGTTTTTTTTTTCACCCTCTCCATCTTTTCAACAGAATTCTCTTTTTTATTTTACTTTTAAAAGAAACTTACAGTCACAAATATACCCTCATAAACCCCATTCGTCGTATAGTACCTTTCAAATTACACGGAATGTACGATGAACTTGATCCTCGTGAACATAGTCTAGATCATTTAAATCACAATCCACCACACTAAGATTTGGATGACTAGCATTTCATTATTATTATTACATCTTAAAAAGTACTACAATTAATTCTATATATATAAAATAGTAAATCCAATTCATGAATCTTAAATTAAAAATTAAAAATAATAATAATAAAAAATAGAGGATAGTACGAGGAATTAGAAATGATAAGAAATTGCATGGGGGGAGATGTATTGTAATTTGTATGAATGGGAAAGGTCACAGATCACATGATGGGGTTTTATCCACAACTTGTATGCATACATTATACATACACCCACCCATATTATCACATGATATGCCCATCATTATATTCTTTTTTTTTTTTCTTTTTTTTTTAAAATTATTATAATTAATTTCAATAATAAAAAAATGTTTAATAATATTAAATTAATTAAAAATATCCACTGTATTTTGAAACAAACGCACATAATAGACAGTCTTGTTAGTTGGTTGACCCATTTAACAAGTCCAACACAATAAGATTAACAAATTAAGTCACTTGGTTTTTTTTATTTATTTTATTTTATTATTATTATTATAACTTCAATTTGGTTCGTTCAAATTGTGTTGTAAAAGCTTACACATAGAACTATAGTTTTCGTGTTTTGAAATTGAGATTAATAAAGTAATATTATTCCTTTCAATCATAATTTTCGACAAACTGCAATCGTAGTATGCAAGTTGTTCGGGAATTTCATATCGATTTTTTTTTTGATTTGAATCATTTGAATTTATAACCAGAACAGCAAAATTAAGCAAAGAATAATAATCATCATCATTTTATTGAAAGAGTTTGAATAGAATAACATAAAAAGAAAATATCCATACACAAAGCAATAGTTGGTAGGTTCAATTTTGGCATGCAAGCTTTATAGAGGACTAAAATTAAAGATTTGCTTAAAACTTTGGTCTTCTAATTAATTAATGCATGCACCAAGAAAAAAGCAAATTCTTTTGTCAAAATAGGAGGAATAGCCCAATTTCTTTGAATTTCTTCTCCTAATTTCCAAACACTAGAAAATTGTTTTCCTCGTTTTCATTTTAACGTATCGAGTGTAATCTTGTACATAGTTTCATCTCGAAACTTTCGATTTTTTTTTATAAGACGAAACTTTCGAATTGCTATTATAAAGTAACGACCGACTGACGAGATTCAATATAAATCAGACCTGCAATAAAAAGTTAAAACCCGTAAATAGATGCTACTATATTCAATAAAATTAGAAGTTAATTAACCTACCACTTGGTGATTAAAAATAATTAACTTAGTATTTTTATTTTTATAAGAAGTTAGGTAAAATGAGGAACAATTAAGGGATGGGTCCAAAGAAAGAAGAATGAAACTTCCAAAGCCTATTTTAAATTGTTATCATGTCTTCACTTAGCACAATTAAGTAGACATTGGAATTCAATGGATATCACATGTCCTTAAATGCTAGACATCTCATCACCTTCTATATTATTTAAATTAAATTAAATACTATTAATACTAAGTTTATCAAATGCAAAAACCTCTACTTGTAACTATTTTAAGTAATTGTCATTAAAAATATATATTTAGTAGCTTAAGCTTAAGGTGCACAGAGTAATATTACACTTTTGTACAATAGCTTGTAAATCATACGAGAAACGTAAACCACATTGACCTAATCATATGTGATAAATTTCACCTAACGATCGTTACCAAATGGATTCAAACATGAGTCAATTGACACAAACTCACTTGCTGAACAGTTAGGTCATCCCTTATAAAAGAGTTATTGAGATGCTCTTATATTTGAACTAGAATACAAAGACTTAGAGCATCTCCCACCCATCACCAAATCCTATAATTATAACCTAATTTAGGTGTTTTTAGTCTCCCAACCTAAATCTCTAAATCACCATTACACCTAAAATTATAGTGATTTAGTTTAGTCTCCCACCCTGGTCAAACTCTATATCACTATATCTCTAAATCCTATATTTTCACCAATTTTTTTGGTGAAGAAATTTTCATCTCCCACCCGTCCCTCCATTTTACCATTTTTTCCACCAAATCCTATTTTTTCTATCAAATATAGAAGTGAAAATAGGATTTGGTGTAATTAACACCATTTTATAATTAACATATACAATAATTATATTAACTAATTTCATGTGATTACCAACTTATAAATATATTTATAATAAATATATTAGTGTTAATTAGTGAATTAGTTTTCAAATTTTAAAATATATTATTATTATTATTATTATTATTATTATTATTATTATTATTATTATTATTATTATTATTATTATTATTATTATTATTATTATTATTATTATTATTATTATTATTATTATTATTATTTATTATTATTATTATTATTATTATTATTATTATTATTATTATTATTATTATTATTATTATTATTATTAATTATTATTATTATTAATATTATTAATTAATAAT